ATGGCTTGGTGCCTTTTTTTCTCCGGCTGCCAAGATCTCAAAGTAAGTAAATATGCTAATGGAACCATACAAAATATAACAAAGCAGCCCAACTAGGAGCAATCAAGCTATTAGAATCCTTTTATGTCTCTGATGCAGAAACACCAACAACAAAATACACTGGTAAAGGTTAGGAAAAGGAGTATTAATTAACTCAAATATGATATTGTGTTAGCAATCAATGTGCAGCAACATGAGGCAAATGATGATCCAAAACAAAAGCTTTCCTAAAGATGTTCAAATCCCTAGAATCAACTACAATGGAAACAAAATGGAAAATAATTAAAAGGACTCTTGATAGTCAAAATTCAAGTCAGCTCTTGAACAAATTCATAAATTCCACCCAAGAAGTAAAACCACAGATCCAGAATTTTTTAAACCATTGGATTTGCCTTGCCAAGATCTCTTGCAAGGCTTGTAATGACCCTGTCAGAAAAGCAACAGTAGTGGATATTTCAAAGAGGACAGTAACTCATTATCAGAAGGGTTTATTAGGAGTGTCTTAGTCATATTTTTTTATTTTTGCAGTCGAGGTTTTTTTACATAAAGGGAAGCCAAGGAAAAGGTTCTGGTAAGATGAAATGTCTGTGAGATTAGGAGAAATTGTCAAATACACAATAAAAATTTAGGTATCAATGAAGAGAATAGACTCAGAGTTGAACTGTGGGGTCCTTGGTGCTCTTTGACCTTGGTTGTTTTCTTCCAGATATTTTATTACCCAACTTGGTAATAGCAGTACTAGGAAGGAGTGAAGTTTGCTTTCTGTTTATACACAAATGGTTTGCCCTGTCGGTGTTAGTGGGAGTGTTGTTTTCTTCTTGGATTAACACCAAGATAAACACTAGACCAACAATCAAGAAGTAAACAACAGCCTAATCAAGGAACAATCAAGACTATTCCCACTACAACTGTCAGAGCCAGCTACTTTAAGAGTGAAAAGAGCACCAAAGACACACATTCAGCAGGGGTGGGTTCTAATTTTTTTTACTACCAGTTCTGTGGGCGTGGCTTATTCTGTGGGTGTGGCTTGGAGGTCATGTGACTAGGTGGGCATGGCTAGCTGGTCAGAGTCATTTCTGAAAGGTCCTCGCACTTACGACCTGACTCATTTGTTTGCTTTTAACACTGATCCGCTGTAGGGCGGCCCTTTGAAGCCCCGCGGCAAGAGTTTAAACAGTTTTTTTCCCCTCTAGTCATCAGCTGGGACTCAGGAGGCAGCAATAGATTGGGGGTGGGGCCAAATAAAAGGTAAGAATAATGTGGGGGGGAGGGTGGGAGGGTGGGGGAGAACCAGTTCGGTGACGTCATATCGTCACCGCTACCGGCTCGGCCAAACCGGACCGAACCGGGAGGAACCCACCACTGACATACAGGTATGTTCATTTTACAGTTTGTAAATTGTATGTGAGACATCTGTGCTAGAAACCTTGAGACTGCTAGGACAGGAGATTATCTTAGAAAACTAATAACTACTGTAGCTTTTCAGGGGATCCACAATGCCTGTTGCTGTGGCATCTTAAAGTGAGGGTCAAAAATGGAATAACAGAATTGGAAGGGGCCTTGGAGGTCTTTAAGTGGTTAAAATACAGTATTGCAGGCTAATTCTGCTGACTGCCAGGAGTTCGATCTTAACCTGCTCAAGGTTGACTCAGACTTCCATCCTTCTGATATTGGTAAAACGAGGACCCAGATTATTGGGGACGAGATGCTGACATTGTAAATTGTCAAGAGAATGTGGTCAAGCACTGTGAGGTGGTATATAAGACTAAGTGCTATTGCTTTTAAGACTGCTATGTTTTTTAATATTGACATAAATTTTCAGGTGAGGATTATTTTTAAAATTATTGTAACCTTCTTCCCACTAGACATACCTACCATAAAATTCTTGTGGATTAAAGAGAAATCAATACTTTGGTTATCAGCAATCTTCATAAAGAAATGGTTAGATAGGTTGTCGGCTAGATTTGAGAAAACATCCTTGAAGAACCACAATCACACCCCCTATTTATGCCAAGAAACTTTTTCCCCCCCGACCACTTACTTCCTCTCATGCTCTCAATTGTAAAATCAGTTATTTCTTCCCAGAAATTAAAAAGTCAAGCATATAGTACAGGTAGTCCTTGACTTACAACTACAATTGAACCCAAAATTTCTGTTGCTAAGTGAAACATTTGTTAAGTGAATTTTGCCCATTTTATGACCTTTCTTGCCACAGTTGTTAAATGAATCACTGCAGCTGTTAACTGAGTAACACAATTTTTAAGAGAATCTAGCTTCCCCATTGCCTTTGCTTGTCAGAAGGTCGTAAAAGGGGATCACATGACCCTGGGACACTGCAACCGTTGTAAATACATTCCAGTTGTCAAGTGTCTGAATTTTGATCATGTGACCATGGGGATGCTGCAATGGTCATAAGTGTGAAAAATGGTCATAAATCACTTTTTTTCAATGCTGTCCTAATTTTAAACAGTCACTAAGTGAACTGTTGTAAGTTGAGGATTACCTGTATAGAGTTTGGGACTAATACTATAAGGCAAATAAGTATTTTCAAAGCAAGGTTAGGAGACTGGGGGCAGGGTGAAGGAATCAGATATGGAAATAGAAATATTTGGTGCAATTAGAGATTATGTTTCACTTATTATGTTGCAGAGATATTAAAGTATGAATATGGCATTATTGCATGTACTGTATCTGCAAACCCTCAATAGCTTATCAGACAGAAGAAGAAGAAAGAAAGAACTCAAATGGAAGTACAATCAAAGGAACTAAGCAAAGAGAGCTTAAAGATTTGCTTAGATACTGCACTGTTCCAATTTTCCCAACTTGCTTTTAAAACAAGATACAAAGCCTTGGCAATAAGCAAAATTCTAGAGGTAGTATATTGGACATTTGTTCAAGCTTCAAGACCATTAGGAGGGACTCTGCCCTCATTTTTCACAATGCTCAGACTATGCAGAATAATCAGGTGGAGCCTGGTGGAATTCTCAGTCCTTTCTCCAAGGGGAGATTCACCGAGAATTCTCCAAAATCACAAGAATTCTAATTGTCCCCTCTCTTTTTTTAAATGTGTGTCTACAGTAATTATCTCAATGATGGAAAGAGATGGGGAGGGAGAGAGACAGAGTCTATGCAAAGAGAGACAGAGGGGGCCTATGTAAAGAGGGAGGAGGAGAGAGAGTGAGAGTGAGTGAGAGAGAGAGAGAGTGTGTGTGTCTATGTAAAGAGAGAGACTAGAGAGAGAGAGAGAGAAAGAAAGAAAGAGAAAAAGAAAGAGAGAGAGAGTATGTAAAGAGCCTAGAGAGAGAGAGAGAGAGAAAGAAAGAAAGAGAGAAAGAAAGAAAGAAAGAGTGAGTGAGAGAGAGAGAGACTATGGAGAGAGAGAGAGAGAGAGAGAGACTATGGAGAGAGAGAGAGAGAGAAAGAGAGAGAAAGAGACCATGGAGAGAGAGAGAGAGAGAGAGAGAAAGAAAGAGAGAAAGGAAGAAGAGTGAGTGAGTGAGAGAGAGACTATGGAGAGAAAGAGAGAGAAAGAAAGAGAGAGAAAGAGAGAGAGACTATGGAGAGAGAGAGAGAAAGAAAGAGAGAAAGAAAGAAAGAAAGAGTGAGTGAGTCAGAGAGAGACTATGGAGAGAGAGAGAAAGAGAGAGAAAGAGAGAGAGAGAGACCATGGAGAGAGAGAGAGAGAGAGAGAAAGAGAGAAAGAAAGAAAGAGTGAGAGAGAGAGAGACTATGGAGAGAGAGAGAAAGAAAGAGAGAGAAAGAGAGAGAGACTATGGAGACACTATGGAGAGAGAGACACACACACACATGGAGACTATGCATATTAGAATCCTATTTTGTTGCACAAGTCCCTATCCACTATTTCTCAGGATATCTAAAGCACACGGAGATAAGAAACACATTTGTTCCCTTGTCTTTCTGAATTTATGCTTCCTGAATCAGCTACAACTACTGCCTGCCTGTCATCCCCAAGCAACATTTCAGTCGTCAGTGAATATTTCACGGTGGTTAATTCTCAACAACGCAAACAAAAAAAATCTTTCAGATTTGATACCCAGAAGCTTTTTTGTGTTTTACAACTTGCATAAACCATTCACAAACTATCAATATCCAACTCATAGCTTCCTCCCAAAAGAATACAACATCAAATGGTGAATTAAAGTCCATTTCTACTTGTAAAGGCCTTAAAGACAACCATAAGGCAATAAAAAACTGTTTTGTCAGATTGTATCAGGACCACCGTATCTTTTTAACTTTCATGAGTTCCAATCAAGGACCCTAGGATTTTTATCCTGGTACTGAGAATTCTGTTTGGGGACCCTAAATTTCCACAGCAAACTACAGTTGTCAGGATTCCTTGGAGAGAAGAACTAACTAACTGCTAAATTAATCTAGTTGTATAGTTGTGTCCTTGGAGAACACCATGGCAACCATGGCTGCTGTTATAAAGGGAAAAGCTTGGTACTGTAATATATAAAAGAGGAGTTTATCACAGAAGGATATTCCAATTTTGGCATTAACATCTACAAATACCCGGAACAATTAAAGCATAAATGTTGCTGTTTGTGTCTCAATTTTGGATGGTTTTAATATTGTCCCCACTCCAGGATCTCGAGTCTGGGTGCCACTCAGTCATCCAGGCAATGAGTGTGGCACAATTTGCCCACAAGCTGAGATCCTATATGAATTCTGGATTGGCTATTATCTGCTTCTCCAGAAACCACATCACTGTCTGCATCTGCTCGGCAAACCCAACAGATTTCAAAATAGTATCCCATCCTATCCATGTATGAATAGCCTTTTTCAAACTGTTAGAACTACAATGGAACTACAAGTGTTGTAATTGGAACTACAATGGCTTCCAATTCCCAACCGTGTTTGGAGAAGGCTATTCTGCAGCTTGCACCTCTTTTTCATACCTTCCCTAAAACTGCCATCGGTCGGTTCAAGGAGAAACTTACCTGGTCCGTTTCTGTGAATGTGCTTTGCTCATCATCTTCTATGTCCGACTCCCCCATAGCAATAGGGACACAAATGGACATGTTTGGGTTGGTCATAAAGTCATTATTGTGGTCATCGGACACCTGATGCCCTTCTTTGTTGATGTCAGCTCTGGCGTTGCTGGTGTGGTTCTCCTTCTGGTTCTGCTCTTCTTTGACAAACTCATTAGCCATGTGGTTGTTGACGCAGTTGTGCATGACGGGCTGGTTGTGGGTCACAAGCTTCATCATGGCTTTCTTTTCAGCAGTGGCTTTTGGCTGTCGAAGGACCCTGCAGCAAAAGTTCCACATGGAACGCTTGAGGTACTTCATCCCCCTATTGATGCGGGCAAAGGCCAGCTGCAAATTGTTCATCTCCCCATCTTCGTCTGGGGCAGAAAGATTATCAGCACTAAATGAGCTCAACAGTAAGGCAAGAAACAGGTTCAGCACCTGAAATGCAATAAAATATTAAGAAGTATTATCTGAATTTTCTCCTGCATTCTGTTGCGGCATTTGGGTGAATACAGGTAGTCCTCAACTTACAACAGTTTGTTGAGTGATCATTCAAAGTTACAACGTCACTGGAAAAAGTGACTTAAACTGGGAGAAGATCAAAAGGCAACATTATTTAAAAATTCCAGTCTGGCTATCAACTATTGAAGCATTCTCATATTCAATAACATTTAGAAAGGAACAAATTGTTAGATATAATGAAATATTGAATGAAAAGGGTGGACTTAAATCTAGGCAAGAATTAGAAGAACAAGGTATAAAGATGAATTGGTTTTCCTATTTGCAAATACAATCTAGATACGATAAAGATCTTAAAACAAAAAGTTTTTATAATAATTTGACCAATTTAGATAAAATTTTAACAGGTACTGATGAAAACGTAATTAAAAAACTATATGGATATTTATTAGAGATTAAGTTGGAAGAAGAACAAGTTAAAGAAACAATGATTGCTTGGAGGGGAAATTTTGGACATGGAATTGACTTCGAGAAATGGCAAAAATTATGGTCGCAAAATTATAAAGTGACAATGTTAACTGCATATAAAGAAAATTTGTATAAGATGTTTTACAGGTGGAATCTACCCCCGACGAGAACAGCCAGAATGTTCAAGAATAAATCTGAAAAATGTTGGAAATTTCATCAGATGCAGCATCCCCATTTTCACGTGGTCAAAATTCAGACACTTAGCAACTGACTCATATTTATGAGGGTTGTAGGGTCCTGTGATCACCCTTTTGCAATGTTCTGACAGGCGAAATCAATGGGGAAGCCAGATTCACTTAACAACCGGGGCAAGAAAGGTCATAAAATGAGACAAACTCACATAACAACTATCTCATTCAGCAACAGAAATTTTGGGCTCTATTGTGGTCATATGTCGGGGACTACCTGTACAATGGATACAGATAGAAGAGAATATCTTGAAATGTGGGGTCCTTGGTGCTATCTGAGCATGGTTGTTTTCTCACAGATGTTTCATTACCCATCTAGGCAACATCATCAGTGCTACACCTGATGATGTTAACTATTTTGGTAATGAAATGTCTGCAAAAAAACCACCAACCTCAAAGGCCCTACAATGGATATAGATATACCCACCATATTAATAATATCAGAGACATTGATATCACAGAGATTATCTAGTCCATTTCTCTGTCCTATTCAGTATATGCAATACAGGATTCTATTAAAATATCTCTAAAAGATTATTGTCCATCCTCTGCTTAATAATTTCAGTAATGAGGAGCCCATTACCATATAAACATTCCAATTGTTTTACCATTGGAAACAAAAAGTTGAATCTCTGTCTGATTCAGCTAAACCATTTTTCTTTTCAGGCATGGAGTTACATAATTTTAAATAAATTTTATTAAACATATTCATTTTATCAAATATATTTTAAAAAGGAAGATAAAAACTAAAACAAACTACAGTGATATAAAATAAGAAGCAGAAAAAAAAAAAAGAAAAATCAGAGAAAAAGCTGCAAGACCAAGAAAGGGAAAAAAAAGTAAAAGAAAAATAGAAAAGGAAGAAAAAAGATACAAAGTAGCTGCTTTGGATCTGCTTTACAGCTGCTACAAATAGAATTTTATGTTTACCTCTTACGTTATGGTTATGGGTAGTCCTCAACTTACAGTTATTTGTTTAATGACTGTTTAAAATTATAACTGAAAAAAAGTGTTTTTCACACTTAATGACTGCTGTAACATCTCCACAGTCACATGACCAAAATTTGGGTGCTTGGCAACTGGTTCATATTTACGATGTCCCAGGGTCATGTGATCACCTTTTGCAATGGGAAGCCGATTCATGTAAGAACCTGGTTAGTAACTTAACACATGCAATGATTCACTTAACAACTATGGTAAAAAAAAGTCATAAAATGAAGCAAAACTCACTTAACAACTGTCTTGCTTAGCAACAGAAATGTTGGGCTTAATTCTGGTAGTAAGTTAGCAATGATCTATATAACCTAACTCTCTTCTATCTGTAACCTATCCTGTCTAAAACCATAAATCACAAGTTCATTTTTTTTCTGTTTCATACAAAAAGTCTATATTATAAGGGATTTCCAGTCACAATAAAAATAGATATTGACTTTTCTCTGATCAAATAAATCAATTTAGCCATCTCAGCAAGTTCCATCATCTTTACCAATCATTACTCTATTGTGAATAGTGCTGAATTTTTCTGTTGATTTATACAATAATTTTGCTGCGGTTATCTTGTAGGAAAACAAAGTTCCATAACTTTTTAATAATCGTTTGTCTATCAACCCCATAATTTCCTAGTTTTTTAAGTTCCTACCCTTTGAACACACAAAAAAATTTGTCCCTTCTTGTTGTTCACATTTCCTATATAATTTTGATGGGCCTTTATACATTCCAGACAATTTCTCCAGTGACATATACCAATGGAATATCATTGTATCAAAATTTTCTTTTGGATTATAACATAGGGTAAATTATAATCCTTTCAGCCACATATTTCCCATTGTTCCATCTATATATTATAACTAAAATTTTAATCCAAAAAGTAAAGTATGTTAACGTACATTCCTTTCTTCTTCTGTTTCAAATTTCAATAAAAGTTTATGCATTTTAGCACTTACATCTTCATCATTTGCACACAATTCTATTTCAAATTCATTTTTATAATGTTCAAAAACCATAAATTCTTTTGTCTACTTTAAATCTTTCTAATACTATAATGTAAATAAGAGCACCATTGACAACTATAGCAATATTCACCAGAGGGACTGCAATCTCCCAGTTGTTTCTACCCATCCAATCCAATAGCATGCTGGAGACTGGAATGGCATGGAGATTGGAGGAACTGAATACAGGTAGTCCTTGATTTACAACAGTTCATGTAGTGACTTATGACTGTTTTTCACACTTATGACTGTTGCGACATCCCCATGGATACATGATTAAAGTTCGGACTCTTGACAATTGACTTATATTTATGATGGTCTTCCCACTCAACCCTCTCATTATGTACTATATTCTCTGCTCGGTATTTCAGGAAACAAAGCAAACATGAAAGGAGACAGTGGGCATCTCTGTTTTGTCCTCTTTTTTTAATATCTTACAGGATTTTGCTAGATGTCCGTGAACAATTATTTGTGCTTTCTGTGAAGTGTAAATCGATCTTACCCCATTTTATAAAATTACCTCCAAAAATCACAGTTATCACAGCTTAACAGCTCAAATTGTCAAAGGCCTTCCCTGCATCTAAGAAAATCAATGTGGCTTGCTTTTCATTATGAGAAATATTAGAACATTTCTAATTTCCAGCCTCAAAGGCTGTGAATCTCACTAAAGATATAATAATAATAATAATAATAATAATAATAATAATAATAATAATAATAATAATAATAATAATAATAATAATTTTATTTATATACCGCCGTCCTCCCGAAGGACTCGGGGCGGTGTATAGCCAGAATTAAAATACAAATATACAAATATACAATATCTAGTTAAAATTAATTAAAATCATTAAATAGTTTTGGCCGAATTTTAAAACCCAAAATTAAAACCCAATTTAAAATCAATCAATTTGACAGCCCCGCCTGTCGGAACAGGAGGGTCTTGAGGGCACAGCGAAAATGCTATACAGGTAGTCCTCAATTTACGACCACAATTGAGCCCCAAATTTCTGTTGCTGTGAGGCATTTATTAAATGAGTTCTGCCCCATTTTACAACCTATCTATGCCACAGCTGTTAAATGAAACACTGTGGTTGTTAAGTTAGTAACATGGTTGTTAACTGAATATGGCTTCCCCACTGCTTGTCAGGTGGTCAGAAAACAGGTTCACATAATCCGAGGACCTTGCAACCTTCATAAATAGATGTGTCAGCTTTGGAAGCCATATTAGGCCAGAAGTTCCAATGCTGCCACCTTCTCATGTGTGGGAAAGTAGGAGAGAGGGTTGGTAGACATGAACAGCATTCTTCCTGTCGGTCAAGGTCAGGACGATCCAGCATCTGGAGAAGGAGTGGTCAGGGGGCTGGATCAGGATGGAACGGACGTTGATTGGAGCATGTGACTGACTGGGTTGAAAACAGGGTGGATAAAAATCAATGATTTTTTTAAAAAAATCAAAAAAATCGAATTTTTTTAATTTAAATTTTCATAAGATTTTTTTTTATTTAAATCGATTTTTTTGATTTTTATCAAATTTATTTTAATAAAAAACTTTTGGGGTAAAAAATCTATGGTAAGATAGTTTTCTATTTAAGATACATAAATAATTTAGTTTATTCAGCATGAAATGGAGCTTAGTTGTGTAGCATGAGGCTGTATATTCTGCAACACTGGGACTATCGGTGAGTCAACAGTGGGTCAAAGGAGTAGCAGAGATGACAGTTGCTCTTTGAAAATTGTGATTTAAATCGAGCTGATTTAAATCAAGCCTTTTTACTAGTGATTTAAATCATGATTTAAATTGTGATTTAAATCATCAACTCGATTTAAATCAAATCCACCCTGGTCAAAGGAAGGAGAGATGACAGTTGCTCTTTAAAAATTATGATTTAAATCGAGTTGATTTAAATCAAGCCTTTTTACTAGTGATTTAAATCATGATTTAAATTGTGATTTAAATCAACTCGATTTAAATCAAATCCACCCTGGTCAAAGGAATAGCAGAGATGACAGTTGCTCTTTAAAAATTATGATTTAAATCGAATTGATTTAAATCAAGCCTTTTTACTAGTGATTTAAATCATGATTTAAATCAAATCCACCCTGGTTGAAAAGGGGATGGTTTTGGGAGCTTTGACTTACTGAAGGAAAGCCCGGGCTTTTCAGATTCGGGATTTCCCAGATGTGCCAGTTTGCCTATTCTAGTAAAGAGGATTTTGGAAAATGCTTGCTTCCGCGTCTTTACTTGGAGTGGGGGGTTTTCTGGAACGCTGAC